CACTTGCTAATGATCCGAACCCCCCTTCTAGAATCTATGAAGATGCTTGATCATGGGAATCTTCTAGCCGAGAGCAACCTCACGCTAAGCCTTGATACTTTGCCACCAAAACGCGATTTGAAGCTCGTCCAAGAGACGTTGAAAACCGAATTCGGTTGCTAACAAATAAGAGAAAAAAACCAACTGCAGCGATAGATTTGTCGAAGATGAGTCACTCAATCCGACCGCAGCTCTCCACGTTGAAATGGAAGCCTTGCACTTTGACAGTAGAACCTTTCGCAGCTTCTCCAGGAACAAAGCTCAGCAACCACCGATCACAAGGAAACAAAAACGGAACTCATTGTCGATGAGGACTTCGCCGCCGCACTTGACTACTTCTGGTTGCTAGCTTGCCGCCAATCCAGCCAACACCGAGAACAACGCCACTGCCGCCCAGTGTAAGCGACACCGCCGCCAACACCAACTTTGATGAATGCCAGATAACAGAGCCAAAAAAAACACCATAGAAGCGATCTCCCACAGCGCCGACACCGCATGGGGTGCTACCAGCAGCAACAAAAAGGAGAACAACGAATCTCTCGCAACACAACGCAAAACTGGAACAAAACAACATGAGCCACCGCAAGCCATGAAGCATGTTGGTGGTATTCTCTACCCCGGCCTGAATTTTGGAATTCACATCTGTGGGATCTTGCGATAATATTGCCAAAATATTTTTTCTACTCATGTTTGTTGCGGTGGGCTTAGGCAGAGAAATATTGCCTTCATGTTGATTAATGAACCTTGTTCTGGGCACATAGTCGAGGAGATTGCTTTTGTCAGAAGAGTGGTCATTTATAGAGCCACTGTAGTTCATAGATTTGTTGAGGGGCTGTTCACTATACGTTTGAGAATTTGAGGTCTAGTATTCCAATAAGTCTATAAAAAGAGCCCAATTGTTGCAAAATATTCTACTGAGCTTCTTGAGACGAGGAAGATTTCTTCTGATCATTTATCTTAAATCTAACTGAGCATGAGCTCATGATTCTTTTGCCTCATCGTCTTCTTTTCAATACAAGTTCTCTTAGTGAGTATCGATATTTGTATCTGATTTCTTGTGCATGTTGTTGAGTGGTGTGATTGTTGTCCACGTCTGTGTGGTGACGATCTGGTGCTTGTTCTGATACTTCACCTTCACTTGTGCGATTGTTTAACATATTGTCAAATGGAAAGATCTCATTAATTGTGGTGTAGTCCAAAAAGGGATATTCTATCTTTTCTTTGTCAAAAATTATGTCTTTTGAAATTAGTATTCTTTTCTCTTTTGCATCATATGTCAGTGTCATAGCCTACAAATAGATTTTTTTTATTGTCCATCTTCTTTCTTTGGATATGTGTACATATCCAAACACCCAAACACTTTTAGATTTCTAATATCTTATTTATATTAAAAGAGTTTCTCATGAAAAGTTGTATCGAAATTTGTTTTGGTTGGGTTGAGATTGACTAGGTGATTGGTAATATTTATTGCCTTATTCAATAGAAAGCTTAGAAGTTTGCTTTCAAAGGCCATGCTCTTTGCATGCTCTATAATTGTTCTCTTTTGTCTTTTTGAAACACCATTTTGATGTGGTATTTTGGTCTATGTCAATTGGTAATTCTATACAACTTGTTGAATTTTTAGATTATTTGTGTATCATCACTTCTAAGCAACCTAATGACTTTGTTCATTTTGGATAAGTGACTCAATGTATAATAGTGAAGATATCTCCATTGGTGATACTAGAGATGTAGATTGCATTTTTTTTGTTATGCTACTAAAGTTTGCCTTCCTTTACTTTTAGGCACCATGGAGTTGGAGCAAAGTATGAAGGCCATTGGTGTAGGTATGTAGTAAAGTAAAAAAACAACTACTAGGTTTTTAAATTCATATAGATTACTCATTGAATTTTTATATTTAATTGCTATGATTTTTTATTTTTATTTTTATTGTTGATGTTGTCCAATATCCAATAATAATATTTTGTGAATACTACCATATTTCTTATATCTGTTAGTCTTTGTAGTAATATGAGACTATTGCATACAAAGGGCACATAGAAAACATTATTGAGCTTTATTCCATCTGATCAATGGCTACAATTGCCTTTGCATAGCCCTCAATCTGATGAGATTTCCTTCATGTTCTAATAACAAAGCCTCTCTACACTCCATATATTATTTTTAGTATATTTCTATTATTTATGACATGATTTGAAGCACTGCTATCTATATATCACTTATATTTCAAATAATTAGTAATATCCATTATAGTTGTATCAAAGTTGTTAATAGCATGTTCATTACTTTCATTGTACTTTACATGGTTTAACATGTTCTTGTTGCTATTATAAGAATATACTATGGATTGTCATTTTAGACACTCTCTTGTGATGTGACCTTCTTTTCTACATATATAGCATCCAAATTCTCTTTGATTGTTGAAAAATTATTATTGTGTTCTTTATCTTAGATTATCAAATCTCCATCATATGGATAATTTGTGTTCATCTCACATGAGTATTCTCCTCCATTTCATAGCCAATGTCATTTCTTTGTCACTAAGTTTCTTACTTTTGAGGTCTTATTAGTGTCTCTCTTTAATAAGCTTTACTGTAACTCATTCAAATGTAAGTAGTATTTTGATAGAAATTATACATTCCAAAATTCTTTATTATGAGCATGGCATTTCATTTAATACAATTTATACTAGATTTTTGTCAAATATACTTTTTCTTATGGTTATCAACTTATTCTTTATACCACACATCTTTTTAATATAATCTTCTACTAAATTAACTTCATACATATAGAGTGTATGAAGTTGATTAGTTAGTGGTAATACTCATATGGGATGTCTAGACTGGAAATTGTGTTCCACCATTCTCCAAGCATCAATTGAAACCTCATGTTTTACAACTAGATTAATCAAGTCATTGTTCATGGATAACATATTTGCATTCATAGCCATATTCTTTATCTTTTGGAGCCTAAGTTGGTTGTGATTCTTTCCATTCACCCTTATCAAAAATATTGTTCATTCAACATTTGATTTTTTTATCTCTCAAAGATCATACCTCTTAAGATGTACCTTCATCTTAAGTTTCCAAACAAAATGATTGTATTATCTAATTAATTTGTTCAAGTCACCAATTGACATAGAGCAATTGTCTTTTTCTATGGTTTAGAATCACAATTTATTTGTAATTCCTTCGTCAAGTGTGAGACGATCGGATAGATAGATTGCATCCCATAACTACTGGAAACCAGAAAAGAGAAAAATTTACCATGTATTGCCACGAATTGCCGTTGGTTCACCAAGATAGAGCATTTATCCAACCGAATTCAGCTAATTTAGACCCAATTGTTTGAACGCCATTAATGTAAGCCAAAAAATACGTCAAAAAATTCTTTAAGCCTCCAGCTTTAGGTGCAGGACTTTACATGGTCGAGTTCGATTTGGCATTTGACTTGAAATTTAGCTGAAATATTCCATCCACTACAGCTCGAAGAACACGCTCCACCATAAACTAGAGAAATAATACTAGGCGAACAGTATTGTTTCAACTTCGACAGAGCGTGCAGGGATGAGCACAACCAGCGTGCCTGATAGCTCTCATACGAAAATATGACCAACAAGTGAGACGTTTCAAAAAGCAGAGGAGAGACTGAGTGTACTCACAAGTCAATTGTTCCAAGGACACCATGAGGAGTAAAAGTTAACAACCAGAAGTTTTATCCTGGAGATCACAAACAAACAGATGTTTGTTAGTTTCTCAGATACACGCCGAAACAGGATAAGTAGCACGCAATTACATCCCTTAAACTTGGGCTATTTCAGAGCAAGTACTAAAACAAATAGAATTAAATGATTAAAAACTCAATGCGTGGTCGATAACGACCAGATAACGTTTATTGCCTGCATACCTTACTGCTTGTCGTATGTTTCATATGTGTTTTTTGTTGTGATCCACTATACCCTTCCCCAGAATCCTCCCCGGATTCTTCTTCGACATGATACTTGGAGTTTTTAACTGATCCCGCAAGGAATTCCTGCCCTATTCGTCGAAATTGGATCAAATGGATACTTCCTTACAGTTTTTGTCAGATTAAATGTATGCTGCAACCAATTCCAAACAAAGCAGATTATAGACATTCCTTCCAAGGAAGCCTCAATACATAGAGTCACCGCCAAGTGAACACATCAAAGCCGAAGAACACAACACATTCAAACTTGACATGAAGATAGTTGATCAATCTCAGACGATATAAATCCACCTCGGCAAACAAAGTTCGATTCAGGAAGACACCTTCTGAAGGCTCTTCTCAATCAGGATTTAAACATGCCACAAAGTGACTCTTATTGCTACCCAATTGGACCATGGCGAAGGAGACTCACTGTGTCTAAAACACCACTGACATTCGTTGACGGAAATTCGCAAGATAGAACTGGAAAACCGTTAGCCAAACGCAGTCACCTGACAGCCATCATCAATACATGGCTTGTTGAACAACATCTGCATCGTTAAATTGTTCACTTAACAATTGGTTTAGTAGGTTCGAGAGCTTATTTATGCGCAGATGTGAACTGCTAAATGAGGTGGATTTTCGAACACTATTGTTGGAAAGCATAGAAATAAGCTCAAGAACTTGTCATGAATAAAAAATATGCATTACCAACTGCGCAATGAATGACAGGGGCACAAGTGGTTTCAATCCACTACAACACATCCGCATATTGACACCACAATAACTCTATATGGATGTTCGCTGATTGCAGCTCTCCATTTTAACAGTGCTACTGTGAAGGGCGATGATTTTATGGATACCAACTTGAGCCAATATCATGGACAACAAAACCAATGTAGACCATGCTTCTAATTAATTCAGAACCAAGATTGTCTTCCTCCATTTTCACAGCTAAACTTAAAAAATAAAAAAAATCGCTCATTGAAACCATCACCACAGACATGTAAGCTTCAAACATCTCAAGCACAAATTGGTCCTCATACATCGCACGAATTACAACTCAAAGTGGCTGCCAATTTAAGGCGAGGTAGCATTAGTCTCGTTCTGCTACCATCGCAGCTCGCGAATGCACTCACCACAGTTTCCAGTATGAGCCCAACTGCACAATCACTGTTACTAACCCTCTTCACCATTCTTGATAAACCCGACGACGAGGAAATCCAGCGAAGGTTGCTGAGTACACTAATTCATGATCCATATCCTGGTTTGCTTTTGTATGAATCTTGTCGACTTCGTCGTTTCGAGCTTCGAGTGTGCGGAGCTATGATACACAATCGACCCTTGACAAATCCGATAAACCTCTTCCGAAATTGAACGTTATATTGTTGCACTGATCATTGAGCTACCAAGCACATTTTGATTCGTTGTGAAGCTTCGAAGAGCATTATTAGTAATGGTTGCTGGACCTACTCGGTTGAATGCGATTGCCCTGGTTGACACAACGCTTCCCGTTGAATGGTCTTCTAAAATTTTACGCTCAAATGACCCGTTCAAGCACTGGAATTTGTTAGACTACACAAGTTCAAGGAAAAGACGTAGTTGCTCTTTTCACGAATGTGGAGTTCAGGCTAACAGGGGGTGTGAATGACTTGAACCTGCTGGGATGAGTTTGAAGAGACGCATGTTTGTCCTTCGAATCACTTGCGCAACCTGTTAAAGGGTCAAATTTCAGGAAAGGATCCTGGTCGACCTCAAAAGGTTCAGTTTCTGCGGCATTATGATGACCCATTTGTGGGAACTCTCTGTCATATCCTTTTTGTCATCAATGACTTATTTATTACTGATTAACACGTTTAACTAAATTGCCATTAGGTTACTGAAATAACAGGAATGATGTAACATGGCAACATTCACTCGAAGCTGTTATCAAAGCTGGGGAAATCTGGGTAGAGCAGTGGGATGGGATTTGAAGATCCACTCCTTCACAGGCATATCATGCTTGGTACGGTTTCTTTTAGGCAACACCCGGATGGGGCGTGGTCCAACGATGACCTTCAGCTTGTTGGCCTTCCCCTCCAGCACATCACCGAACACTCTCCTCTGCCATCCAACCACCAAGCTTACTGAGTGACGATCTTTCCAGACGAAATTACACCTTAAAAATAATCTTCACTCGCAGAATAACAATGGATTCCACAGCATGAGAATAAAAATTAAAATAATATGGTTGTGCTGGTGGAGGTTAAATTTTTAAGGAGTTGGGAGGTCCGCCACCTAACCCATAAAAGTTTATATCAGGGAACGATCCTGACCATCCATATCAGATCTCTACCAACAAGATTTCTGTTTTAATCTCCCTTGACTTCGTCAGTCTGACCAACAAGACTCTCCTTTGACACCTAAGTCGAGGATTAGTTGCATTACAATTATTAATCTCTTAAAACATCGAAGCGAATTACTTTACAAGATAATGTGTCGAAAAGAGTAAAAATCTATAAATAGTTTGGGTGTGTTGGGGCTTGCCTTGAGTCGCTCCCATTTGCGATTCCGCTGGTAATTTCTGAAGAGGTGCCGCTGCTTCTGGTACTCCTGCAGTCATGACGCCCACAACTCCAGGTCAGACATCAACAGAAAACTTGTGCAAATTTAACCTTGAGTCAACATCAAGGAGTAACTGTATGAAGATATCTAAGTCAAAACTGAGAAAAATAGTCTCGGAGTTTGAATCCCTGTGCATGATGATGGACTGCAGTGCAGTGTGGTAGACGTCGAGAACGGAGTTTTAGTGACAAGGTACATTGGATTTGAAGACTCGGAGGACGTGGCGGTCGCAGTGACGGTGGAAGTCCCACTTGGAGAGCACAAGCGAGTCCACATGGCTCACTGTCACAATGGTCGCTGCTCGCTTTGTTGCCGTCAAAAGTCCTCTCTGCACATGATTACCAGATCAATCCATCTCGATCGAGCAGATGGATTGATCTGCACAGTAATTAACTACCCCAATTGATCAACCACACTCATGACTGGGATTAGCATCGTGACTGGAATTTAACAAATAGGAGTATATTCGTTTCAAAATAACTGCAACTGGATCTACAATAACTTAATAAAACAGAGCATAAGGTTGACCTGCTAAGAACAGATCCAGGGTCAAAGGAAATCACAAACCTCCCCAAAATAATCTCCTGCTTTAAGGCATCCTATGTCCAGAATCGTTGATGCCTGCAACATAGCCATGCGTCATCAACTGTTACAATTGGCCTCACCATAGAAAACAACTACGAAATGCATTGGGAATCACTGAACCATCCACCCATCGGCACATACTTTACCTTGGCTGAAGTGAGAATGATGAGTCCGACGAAGAGAGGGAGGAGGAACATACTGCAGGACCATCTTTCCCCGGACCCTTGGTCAGCTTCATGGGTGCATTCTGTTGAGTTCCAGGCATGAAGCTCCAATCACCCGTATCTGCCACCTTCGTATGCGACAGCAGTGTCTTCTCCCGGTCAATGATGTGCCTCGCCCATTGCTCGAATTTATCCCGATAGTATTCATTTTCCTCGCCGACAATGCCTGGCATGATCTGTTCACCTCGTATGCCCATCTGCCACAAACGGTGGTCCTTCTCACTGAACTCTGCCATGCGATGCTCCTTCTCCTTGCGATGACAATCCATAAGAAACAACCGCAAAGAATATTTGCTTTTCTTAGCCTGCTTCTCGCCGTACTTGTCCGAGAAGTGGATCTGCATTAAAGAAAATCGTGATGACTTGGTAGACGAATTGGGGGCCGTCCCCATGAACGGCCAGTTCGGTTGATCGTCCTTGACAACCGGAAAGAGCGGAAAGACCTTCTCCTTGCGAACGAGGGTTCCAGAGCGTGAGATGGCCTCCACCGAGCCGCGAGGAGAGCCCCACTGCGACGGCCTTTCCTCGCTGGGAAGGTCGTGCGTCCGAATTTCTCCAATTGTGCCAATTGGGAGCCTGTCCATCAATGTCAGCTTACGCTTCGTGTCCTTAGGGGTTGACCCCAGTGAGCTCCATCGCCAGTCGGGCGCTGATCCGGAGGTGACTCGGCGCCGAAGATCGAATGTTTTCTCGGGTGAGTATGCCAGGGCAATGGGTGTAATCTCACTCTGTCGTTTCTTCAGTGCTGCCGAGATGGACTTGTGCTTGGAGGACATTTCGCGCTGGATCAAGCATGAAATTGCGTCCGGATTCTTCACAATGGCGGAGCTGAGGTGCGGGACAAGTTTGCCACTGTCAACAGAGTGGCATGGCTCACTCCTAGGTGCCGTAGTCTTACCTGGCCTCTGTTTCGGTAGCGCACACGGCGTGGAATTGGGATCGCGAGGCTTTTCGTGTTGGGGGTGCCTCAAGTCCTTATGCTTGTCCTTAGGCTCGTCCATCTTGCAGCGGTGGTATTGTGATGGCCTATATAAATAAACCCTTGTTACATATTCTGATTCCACGTGAAATTTAATTGCGAGTTCATTCCGACAGTGTTCATGTCTAATGATAGTGTCCAGACGTAATACACATATTTTGATAGATGCACGATCGCCTACATAACGGGGATGCAATACTAAATTGCAGCCACATTGATTCTCACCAGTATTGCTTTAGAAAAGAAGAAGCCCGAGGGAGAGGTGTCCACATCTTCTCATTTGGCACCTCAAGAATGACCTGCGCCAAGTAACTATTACCGCCTCAAGTTTAGAGCAGCATTAGCTCAGATCATAATTGCATTTTAATTTTCATGTTGAGGCAACACAATCTTGTATAAAACTCATCCAAGTTGAAAAAATTCTTACTCGGCATTCGCCAGATCTGACGAAGTACATCTCCGTGGAGTCATCTCCTTGGAAGGTAATTACTGGAGTTTATCAACACTACAATCTAGATGAGATTCCAACATAGAGGAAATGTAGACAGCGAGCAGCAGTACGGCAAGTTTGCCGGCATAGACAAATCTCGTACTCTTACAATTATAAATCAAATTGATCCAGCTTAACTGGGTAAAACATCACTCTTCTGACGATGAACTTGATAGCACATCAAGTTACATGTAACTAGGATATTCTGAAGGGTTGATGTACTCCGATTTTTGCTGTAGATGCGATGGGAGAGCACATTAGCCAACCGCAAAAGGCTTTGTCTAGGCAGATTTTTGAATCTTTCAATCCCCTGAATTATTTAAAAACCGAATTCAGCACGCGACTTTCATGAAGTTCACTTCATTTGAATTTTTCGATGAGAGTCCACAACGAACGTACTGAAAAAAATTTCCGAAAAAATTTCCGGCTGAGGCCATAGTAGGAAAGATTTGTTCCTGACCTTGAGAAAGCTGACCCTTTCCTGAAGCTCTGGAGTCTTCTTTATCTTGAGGACTTTTTCGTAGTCTCTCCTGGTGAGCGTGAGCAGTTCTGTCTGAGCAAAACATCGTTCAAGTTCAATGCGTTTTTTCAATCGTATTGAGAAAAGATCTTTTTAAAGAGAAAGAGCATTTAAATTTCTTTTCAGTACTTCCAAGCGCTTCATGCACAAAATCTCAGTCAAAAACAATTTATGGCATTGATTACACTATAAACTCATCCTCAAGGACAGGTTACCTTCTCGTTCGTGTCAACGCTGAATTCCCTGCACCCACCAATATTGTGTGCGGTATATGGTGATAATCCCCTCCAATAGAAATAATTGAAGGGAAACACTTCTACCGGTAAATTCTAAATGTGGAACAACTCAATTCAAAAACTAAAAGCTATGCATCCGTATCTTGCAGGAAGTTCAACATCTGCTGCTGCAGCCAAGGTGTAAGTTTAAGCAAGAATGATAATCAAGTAAATCTAAGGTTTCGGGGCATTTTTCATCAACCATTGACCAATTATGTAGTAGACGGGTACCAATTTCATATTTTGACAATGCCAACTAAATGTTTCACATCCTCAGCCCAGGTCTGTGTTACCATGTATAATTCCAATCTTCAAGCACTTTATCGCCGAACCATTTACCGGCAGGAATGATCCAAGTCTTATCTTCTTGCATGCCCAGTTGGTGATACGTGCACTGCATTGCAGAAGAGTGAGTTTTGATAAATGGTTACAGGTGAAAACCAACAAATGAGCAAACTGGTGCTAGAAGTCAAATGCTGATAACTCTGTGAAAGGCCCTTAAAGGAATAAATGAAGGAAACGCACCTTAACAGATCCGGCGAAAATGATGATGAAGGAGAATGCTTTGCTTCCTTGCTTACAAACTGCAACATGCCACATAGTTTACTGAATAAAATCCTCTTTGCACATATTTCTGATGGCATAGACCTTCAGTGTCAATTTTCTCAACACATAAAAATGTTGTCACGGGACTACCCTACTTAGCGTAGGGGTGATTCTATGCATTATCATAAACATACTCAGAAAGAGGTTTCTTACCACGATGGCCAGGTCCATGTAACTCATATCCAAGAACTTGGCAAATCTGCCACTTGTACCACCATAATACTTGAGTACATGTGCAAAGACTAGCAAATCCTTTGTGAAGTTGACAAAGAGACAGAGTCATTAAACGTCGCGTGCAACATTGACTTCAACTAAAATATGTGATGTAAATTTCCAAATTTTGGTGCAGAAACTCACATCCAAGCGGAGAGCCACGGGAAGATCACAGATGAACCTGACATCGTTGACGATATCTTCCAGCAAATACAAATCGTTCATCGTTCGAGCACCTCGTCTATTCAAAAAAACCACACCGAGGCAGATGACAAAGAGGTTGCAAGGCATTAGAAACGAAAAAACCATCGCCACAGGTATTCGTGTCAACAGAATTGAAAGTTCGGTTTCTGTGAATTCTCAAATTCTGGTCCCCTGCTGAACATCAACTCAAGGTTTCCTACTCTTAATTAACATTATGTACAAGAATTTCAAGAGCTTAAGCATCCCCTAAGAAATATTCAGAGCGTCTTAAATCTCGGACTAGTAATCGAGGTGAAGGATTTGCGAACGCACTCTCGTTGCAGAGCCATGCGCTTCATGCAAGTGCGGTAATGTGCCACACCCCGCCATACCTTAACCTCCTTCTGTTTCACCACAATTGTGAATGGTGACGAGGCTTAGGGTTCTCGCTGAATTTACAAGACATATACATGTGCACGGAGAAAAAGGATTTACAAGTGCCAAGCCTACACTGCCTTGCGCAACCGGCTTTTGATGTGCATATATGAGCAGATTGAAAAACCTAGATCACACTTTGTTTTGAAAACTATCTCGTCGCATCAGTCCACAATATATGAAGATTATGATTCAGTCCTCATTCCAGGATCCCAGTCAATCACTAAAAATTCAACAAGTCTCCGTGTGCAGCATTCGAAATCACACGAGGTGTCATGCCTTCATCCGTCGCTCTCCGTCGCCTTCGTCGTCTAGGGGAAATTAGGCAGGGTGTTAAACAAGCCTTACCCAGACTTGACTAAAATGCAAGAATTGAAGAACTCACGCTGTCCTTATTTTAAATCGTGATACAATCAATTTGCACTGATCTCTACGTAACATACTGAAACATTCTTGTGTATCAAAACCATGAGCGGGGATCGAATACGCTCACAATCCTTGGGGCGTCGTGGCAGCATTTACGTTGCTTCTCAATTCAGCAGACCTCCTTGCAGGAGCAGCTACTTAATCTCAATTCAGAGACAAATGATCTACTGATCCTTGTGTGATATTCACACCAGAATTCTAAATCAAGACGTTAACGAGCACCTCGCATGTGCAGATATGGCTGCCATGCTGGTGCATCCTTCTCTTCTTACATTCAGGTCAAAATCTGACACAACTCAAGCGCATTGAGCCATGTGGACCAGTCACTAGCTGCTAGGAAAACTCTTCGCGACTGAAGCAAGGTTAGACTATGAGGAAGTCCACTTGTAACACCACAATTTGAAGCCCTATTGACCTGGTTTTGGCAAACTCATCGACACGCAGCTATTCATCTCCTGGGGTATTATCCCTCATGTTGACTGAGGAACAATGTTATGCTAACGGTGTTTAAATCGATACTGCGTACGAGCCATAAGAAAGACGAGCTATCTACACGCTTCGCATCGCTGAAAGGGCAGCCGATTGATGCGCACCATTTGGTAAAATTCCATGCAACGTTTCTAAGCTGCGGAGGTGCAGGATGTGTGAAACGACCGTTTCACAACTGTTCTTCCTCTTCATGCCCACCACTTCTGTTCTCCCCCTCCCTCCGCTGCAGTTACCACTACAGCGTGTGCGGATCGCGGACACTGCGCAGTCCATGGACGGCGCTTGAGCTTGAGCTCTAGCTCTCCGGGCACGGGCGGAGGCCTTCAACGAAAGCTTCCGTGTCTGTGCTTCGTCGCCGTGAACTCAGCCTTGGACGACGCTTTTTGTTATTTCGTTACATCACAAAGTAAATCCAAAATAATTGCTACAGTAGTAATAATTTTATCATTTACAAAATAGGTTTTACGATTTCTTGATATGTAGAGCTTTTTTTTTCATCATCATTTCTTCTACAAGTAAACCTGTGCTATATGTTCTTTACTTTTTTAGAGGATAATTTGTTTCTACGTATACATTTGTTGCATCATGTTTAATTCTCTGGTTAAAGGTGACCATACCTTCTGTGAGTAATTAGCTGATTGTATAAAATACTGCCATTTTAAAAACTCATGTTTCACAAAAGCATGTGCTAAGACACCACCCCCTACATATATATATATATATATATATATACACATACACATGTGTCTACATGTGTGTGTGTGTATATATGATGGACAGGGGAACAGACAAACAAACAAGTTAAAAATGTTTGGAATGTGGGTCAAATTGACTATGATGATAGTAGTGTCAGCACATATTTACCCTCTTTGTCTACATCCCATCACTGAATCCACAAGCACATAAATCCAAGTTGGATGTACACATACAAGACTCCACATTTCTGAAATGGCTTGTGGAAATTGATGCTACCAACCATTTTTAAAAAAATCAGAATAAAAATAAATAACATCTGCATTCAGTGATGTTCTCAAGTACACTATGTTCTTACTATAAAGAGAAAAGAAAAAAAACACTATTAAGTGGTTGAAGAATAAGAAGGAGAGGGGTACTTGGGAGTGAGGTGAAGGGAGGGAGGGAATGGACAGTAAGTCTAATGGACAGTAGAACTGCATTGTTAATATTCTTACATTCTGTGTGCCTGAACTGATCTGTTGCACATGTCAACCCTGGTGTTGAACTGCACAGTTTTAAGTACCATTTTAGGGATTGAGAGGATCAATCTCAGGCTTTGGTAATGCTGACATTGTGGGGGGGGATTCTTAGCACTCAATGCCTCTCCCCCCCCCAGGAGGAAATAATTAAGCTGAATAAATTATTATAATATGTTAATGGAAACTAAAATAGTTATGAGAGAGGAGAAGAATTGTTCACATTCTTTTTTTGGGACAATATTTTTGTATTTGCCTATTTGAATGTAAAGCAAAACAAATTGCAACTATTTTGAATTTTCATAATTTTGAATTGATTTTTAACTTCTTTTTTTCCTGTTATCTGTCAAATTCCATCATACATATATATATATATATATATATAGTCTTGACCCATATTTCTCAGTATTAAACCATGAAAAATTATCTAAAACAATGGTGTTAAAGTCTGAAATGACATGTATAGCTGAAAGATTATTTCCTTTCAGAAATTTAATACAAAATCCTTCATACAATTTCACTCCAAAAAATCCAAATTAAAGTTATTAATTAAATATTTATATAACTAATTTCAATAACATTTATAATAAATCATAGTTTAATAAAATAATTTGATTCTTTTAAATGGGTGTATTTATGTGTCAATTGCAAAAATCATTAGTGCAAATTTGTCTTGTAAGGATATGGGATTTTATTATAATAATCCAAAGTTGAGGCTCATTTTAGTTTATTGGTTCTCCTAAATCTTCCTTATTTGGTTATGGTATTATGTATATTTTTCATCTTTAAACTTCTATCCTTCAAAAAAAAAAAAAAAAAAGAGAAAAAAGAAAAAAGAAAAAAATAACTTTCATGTTCAATTACGTAATATTGAAACTTAGTGCTCAAGAATCATCTATTAATAATTTTAAATAAATTCTTCAAACATTTATAAATAATTCTATATAATTATCTTTATCAAAATCACAAGTCATAACTACAACTAATTTGATTAGTAATGAAAAAGCCTAAAAATATCAATAACAGTATTTGGTGGTGACAAAACTAAAATTTAACATGCTAATAGGGGTTGCTATTGTTAGCCCAATCCAAGAAATTAAGTAGACTTTCATTTTGAGTTTTTTAAAAAAAATTGATTTAATTTTTGTTTCAAAGGATCTAAAAATTAGAGATTTTTTGTGATTTTAAAACAAATTTTGAATAGAGAAATTTATCATTTATCCCTAAATATATTGATATATTTTTAATTTTTTAATTTTATCTATATTAAATAAAAATCATTAAAAGGAAATATGAGGGTGTTGATTCTTATTCACGTTTTATTTCTAAACACATATATTTCTTTATTATTATGCTTGGTTATCCCAGTAACTTAATATAAATAGGCGTATTTAATATAAAAGTATTTCAAAAGCACTGCAAAATAAAAACTAAATAGAAAAATTACATTTTTAAAAACAAAAAACACTGTTTATTTATATCTTAAAATAACTGTAGAAGATTTTTTGTGACAATTATAATATATTTATTGGATCACCAAGTGATATTTTTTTATTTATAGAAATATTAAGATATAAATTCAAGAAATGTTTTTCCTAATATTATATGTACATATATATAGAAACTTAGAAACAAAATATAAAGTAAATAATATTCAAAGATATTACTCCTACTTTTTGAGTTTTAAACTGCAAAAAGAAAAAGAAAAAGAAAAAAGTGACAATATTATTACATGTAATGGCATATACAAGAGATATTTGACCAAACTTTTGTTAGACCGAAATTTTGTTATTGAGAACAATTGTTTTGTCACAACACTATTGGAAAGTCTTTTGGAGTTATATCATATCATGGTGTTATTATTGAGAATATAGCCTTTAGTCCAATTGGCTTTGCAAAATTCACAACTTAATTTTTGCAATAAATTATCCAAACAAAAGTGTGGAATCAACCTTCGAGGCACCATTATCTAAATATAATAAATATTATGTTTTTTATTCATATAATAATATTATTTTTATATAGTTATATAATATTACTAAATATAAATATTTTGACAAGAAAGGTCACTAAGTGATAGCATTTTGGACCAAAAAAAACGACACTAAACTTTAAATAAATAAATAAATAAAAAATAAAAACTCTTAAAAGTAATAAATTACTACTACAAACAAGAATGATAAAATAGATAAACATATTTTTGTAGTTTCATTTTTTTTTTCTATGAGTTATAAAAACAAATTGTGTATTAATCTTGGAGTTTCATAGCATTAGAAAAGAAAAAAAAAAAGAAAAAAAAAAAAGAAAAAAAAAAACGGAAGATCAAATCAAATCAAATTGTTATTCAGCTTATAAAAATTCTCTATTTGGCTTTAAGGTTAATTTAAGAATGAAAATGGTATCATCATAAAAAAGAAGTACAAGATGTTTTCTAATTTTTTAGCAATATTTAAAAGAATTTAAATAATATTTTTTATTCTAATTAATAGAATAATAATACACTATTTTATTGCAATATAATTGAATAAAATTATCAATTTAACTCTAGTATAATTGCTTGCCTCTTGAAGTAGGATAATAAACATTATCAAAGGAATAAAATCTAAGAATTTGTATAAATATTTATTTTACATATATATATATACAACTTTAAAATACTATAAAGTTTTTCAGAAAAAAATATTTTGCACAATGTTTTTGGTTGTTTAATCATTTTATGCATTAAAATTTATAAAAAATAAAAATATCTTATTTATCTAAATTCGATTAAGTATATAAATCTAGAATTCTTTAAACTATATGTTTATAATAGAAAACTGTAGAGTTTTTCTTTTAACAAAAGAAAATATTTGTACAACCAAAATCTTATAATTGATATGGAATTTGTCGAAATTTCTATGAATTCAATATTAAATAGATGATAAATATTTTTACTTTTATTTTTTAAATAATTTTTAAATTAAAAAAAATATTTTATAAAACAAAATTTGGAATTTCTGAGAAAGTTTAAGATCAAAGATTTCAAAATTACGTGGTAATATTAGTAGTATGCATATTTTTAATATTTTTAAATAAATTTGTGAAGAACATGGCATTACTTATATGTTATTGAAATCTCATACATCTCTATCTAATAGGGTTTTCAAATACAAAATCATAACAATTTTTAAATATGCAAGGTGTTTATTTAAGCACAAATAATTATCTATTTTATAATAGTCCAAATTCATTAATATAAAAATATGTAAGTTTGATTAAGGCTTAATTTTTGTTTTAGAAGAAATAACATTTAAACATGTACAGACATAGATTGTATAGAATATGAATATAAATATAGATTAATCAAAAGCTATATATGGGATGATAAAGAGTCTTTGGTTTTGAGTATTTTAAAAAATTCTATGCCTTTAAGAAATATCCAAGGAGATTATAAAAGAAGATGGTAGAATATTTGGACTCATAAAGTTTAAAAGGAAAGAATGTAAATCTTAAAGTTCATTTATAAAAGTACATTTGTTAGTTTTATCATTATTTTATTTTATATAAATGATTAAAGAATGATTAATATGAATTAAAAAAAATCTAATGATGGAAAATAATTATTTGCCTAAAATATTTAGGACAAAAAGTATTGTAGAAAACTATTATACTTTGAACATAAAAATTATTAAAAATTAAGGTAATAATAGATTTTTTTAATTTAAAAAAATATTTAAAAGACTTGGCATATAAAATTTAAAATATCTTTCAATTATTAAAAAAATCAATGAAAATGAGTCTAAATGTTTTTAAGGATATTGATATAATAAAAAGAGTTTGAAATCAAAGCAAAATTTGACCTAATATTATGTACACAATAGAACTTATTAGCCAATATAAGGTTTATCCCAGCTAATAATATTGCATAGCTATGTCTAATACATCTTAGTATTTAAAAGACATATAATGCATAAATTAAAATATTATAGTAATATTTATATTTACAAGATATTAGATATTGTGATATTATTGCAAAGCTTGTAAGAAATATCGATACCCAATGTTCTACTATTGTCTATACCTTTATTTTTTTAATTAATATTGCAATAAGTTAGAATTTAGTTTCTTGCAACAATTATTTTTTAATATTTTATTATAATATTATGATTTAAAAATTTAAAAATAAACCTAAATATAAATATTTATCTAAGAAGTACATAGATACATTTTTATTTATGCTACAAAAAATTTAAATCAATGAAAATGAATAAAAATAGACTTGCAAAAATATAAAATTTAATACAAACTCTTCACATAAATGAAAGAAATGAAGTTAAAACCCAATTGTAAATATAAAATAGGAAAAATCAATTACAAAATTAACTACATAAAAACGTATAAAAAATACGTAGAATAAAATCAACAGCAATATAATATATAAAAAAATTGATACATTAACTGGGATTTTTTACCAAGTAGACCGGATTTTGAGCCTGCCTAATTTGAACTTTATTATCCCTCTTGTATGCAATCAATAGAGAAGGGAGTTGAGGCAAGCAACATTGTTTTTGATATTTGACTTGCCCTTCTTTTGATATTTTGATTTCAAAATCATCCACCTTGCAAAGTGGATGATTTAGTGAAATATCAAGTGACACTTCAAAATATCAGAGGATACTTTGAGCTTGCATCACGGGTACAATATTATCCAAAAAAGCCATGTTTGAAATCCCCTAATATCAATATCAATAGATTTTTATTTTTATTTTTATTTTTTTTAATTTTATAACTAAAAAATTTAATAAAATAGAAGTAATATACATATAAAAAATATTTCATAAATATTAAATAGTAAAATAAAAAATAATTGATATTCTTTTTAAATTATCCACATTATAATTTATTTATTAATATTTTATTTTAACGTTAATTAATTTTGATATTGGTATACATATAAATATATATATATATATATATGTATATATGTATATCTATATATTTATGTATTTATTTTATAATTAAAAACATTATTGAAATTTATAAATACCAATTTGCATATGATAGATTATTATTAATGCCAATTTTTTCTTTGAATTGAGGCCACATTTTAAAACTTTGTTATGGTTTTAAGTTGTAATTGTTTAAAAATACTTTAGCTACTATGGATAGTGACATGATTTATTATTTTCATAAAGTTTAAATAAAAAATATGTTTATTTAAAAACTTGTGATAAGATAGGATTTGTTTTAAAAAAATAAATTAAGATTGATTTACATAAGCAATTTGATTTGATTTTTTTTAAAAGCTACATATACATCTTAATTTGTTCTATGAATACCATATTATTATATATATGACATAGCTTATACATACTTTTAAATAATAAGCATCTATTAAATTGATTTTCTTATTATAATATAAAATTTAAAAATAATGATTTAAATATATAAATATATAGATATAATTGAATATTTTTAATTATCTTATTTTAAGATTTTTTTGAATTGAATTCTATAAATAATATCAAGAGTTAATAATTTTCCAAAAAATTATTATGCTAAAATGAACAGTCTAGAAAACATATCATACATAAGAAATGAATAGATTTCTAAATCAAAGTTGATGTAAAAATCTATCTTTATTGGAGGGTGATAAAAAAATATATAGCTAATAACAAGAATAATGGTGACAAAAAAATATTTGGATGATGCTACGATTAATAAGAAAATGAGTCTATGGATCTTTACAGTAGAATATAAATATATTTGAAACTACAAGATGTTTTGATTCTAGTATTGAAATTTATATGATTTTTTAATAGTATATTAAGAAATTAAATCTTTGATATGAAAAGATTGAAAAGACTATTAAACATATTTTTTTATTAATTATAATATGCATTCATATATGGATATATATATATATATATATATATAATTTAATTCCTTCTTAGTTTATTATAAATAATTATATTACTATAAAATAATAAACAAATAATTAAAGAGAGTGTGTAGTAGTTTTTGAGTGGCTTTTGCACAGAAACATCAACAAATACTTTTATGGTTTATTCTAACTCTATCAATAATCTTAGAATAAAGACATGGTTGATGTTTTATTAACTTTTGAAAAAACTTCTAAACTATTCAGTATATATATATATTTAATAAAATAAAAAGCCATATAATAATTTTATTTTATTAATATAATCTTGCATTTCCATAAACATGGAATGAAAATTTAGTAAAAATGTATACCAATTGTTATACTCCAACTTATCAATTGATCATGCTCTAAAGAAATTGTATATATATATATATATATATTTTTTCAAGGGTGAGTTGAAATTGCATGTGCACATACAAGTATTTTAGATTCTTTTTCTAAAAATACTGACAATTAATACCAAAAATTAAAATAAATCAACATCAATTCTGTAATTTAAAAATAAATAAAAATAAATCCAAGGAAAAACTCCACCTATACTTGCAAAAAATTGGAATATCAACAACAACAACAACAACACAACCAAAAAAAAAAAATGATATGCAGAAAGTTTTTTTAAAAAAGAAAACGTAAAAGAAAAAGAACATCCATTCAAATTAGGCATATGTAAAAGAAAAAGAAAAAGAAGAAGAACATATAATTCCAGTCAATCCTAGTAAACATAACCATATGACACTATGCACTACAGTACTCACAGCTCAACGGAGGTTAATTTTAACTTAAATCGCCCGAAAACAAAATCTTATTCCAACAACAAAGAAAGATTCAAAACATTGAGGATCCCAAGAAAAAGCAAACACTGAATGCACTGGAAACACCCCGAAATGCCTGACACACATGTGGTTATATATACTTATACTTCTGTACATATATATAGATATTCCTTGAGGGTACTCAACATCTGATGAGACTGACAATCAGTTCACAGCTTCACGCAAGCTCTCAACAAATGCGACGGCAGGGAATCTAATGCGGTGGATGTGTAGAGAAAGCTGATCTGTGGCACCAGTGACGAAGGCCCCGAGCACTGTAACAAACAAAAAAAACAGAGCACTGTAACAAAAAGAATCAGTAGAAGAAATCTATAGTGTTGTTTTTCTCATCATGCTATGATGAGCAGGGACCGTAAGATGTATGCCCAGCAGCGGCGATGAGGAATCGCCTGCAACGACGTGGAAGCTAGAAGATCCGTGCAGGTGTTGCGTTGTTGTTGCACCTGCAGGTCGATGGGGCGGAATCTGAGCGACGCTGTATGTCATCACTAGGGCTCGATCGCAGTAGCGAAAGGCTGTATGATGGTGTCATAGCTAACAGTCCCCACATACTACGTGCGTACATTTGAATTTCCACCACGTGCAGGGAAGAATCTGGACGACTGGTGCTGGTACACACCCACTTCATTGGTCCAGGGGGTCAGTGATGTCAAACTGCAGTGCTAGAACGCCGAAAATGCTGGTGTGTAATTCTAGAAGCACACGATATGAGGGGGGAAGGGGAGGACCAGTCTGTAAGCCACAAAGAGACACATCATGGAAACAGGACTCGTTTGCTTTCCTCTTTTTGTATATGGTAGCTTGTAGCTGTCGCGTCCCTAGTGCCACTGTGGAGACGATGCTGGTAAATTCAGACAGGGGAGCTAGGCGGAGTGGTGATAGGCTTGTGGGTGCATATGTGGTGGGGCAGATGAGGCACGATCTCTGAAGTGGAGCTTGCTAGTGTCCCCGTTCGGATCGGTTTTGATGGATCGGCGCAGAGGTGCAAGGAGGAGGGAGCAGGAGGAGAGGCAAAAGAGGAGACGCAAGCATGCACTGCCATTGTAGCTCTGCATAGCTCACCTGATGGAGAAGCAGGGCTAGTGACCCCAGTAGCCAGGCCGCTAGTCGCAAATGAATAGCTAGTGGAGGGTTAGAGCAGCTGCGGAGGAAGGATCAGGGTTATGAGGGTCCTTCAAATTGTCACTGGCAGTTGCCCATCTCTAAGGTGCGCCACTGTGGGTGGCTTCTCGCAGAACTGGAGTGTTGATTTGCAGTCCATTCGAAGGTGAAGTTGGGGTCGGCGATGTGGATTGTTTCGCGAGTTGCGCCAACCTAACGTCGCCTTGCTTGCACATTTGTTCCAGTGGCAAGCGAGGAAGGAGCTCCTGGTGGTAATCGGAGAACCCTCTACGAAGTATTTTGTGGGGTGTTTTGGCCGTTGGGGAGTCAGTAGCTCCTCGGGTCGGCCCCCCTGAAGAACCTGTCGATTGCATTGTGACCGTGGGTGCTCATGGGAAAACTAGTTCAGGACGTTTTCTCATGTGAGGGACACGCATGGAATGAAATTGATCAGCCGAAGAGCCGTGACCTTGGAGATCGATTTCTGCTTCACAAGTCCCTTGTGTAGGAAGAGAATCAACTTTTGCGACGGAGTTGAAGACGCTGATTTGACCGGGGCTTGTGAAAGAAGACTTGTCGAAGTTTCTGTAATCGAAGCTACATCACATTCGACAGGTTTTAAAGCAACCACGATAAAAACTAGTTTTTGTTCCAGCTGTTCTAGTTGGTATGTCCGTCTATGGAATTAGCTCCCTCCGCTGTAGAGATCAAAGTTGGACTTGTGCATTAAAAACCATAAAACTTACCTGATCTTTTTTTCTTTATTACATGACCTGCAGTATTCTGTGAGGCATTGGTCGTTAAAATGGCGCTCCTCAGCAACTCGACGTTTTAAAAATTCTCAGATTAATTTCACGTCTCCATGCTCTTGGTAGACTTGAGTTTGGTGAGGTGTATGGTATCGTGTGACTGTCTGGCCCAACCCTACCAATTTCCTCACAAAGTCTGACTTGGCGAAAGTTGCTTTGCAGTCATCTAGTACTTTGTTCAGTACTTAGTATCCAATGTAATTCTTCGTTTTCGTCTACATTACACAAGAAAGTGCCCAAGTCTAGGCTAACCAGCTCTTGAGCAGGACACTACCCAATATCTCTCGGAGTAGAGTGCAGAACCCAAATACAGCAACCTCTCCTGTTAATCCAATCTAGTACACAGAACACTAGAAGCAGTGAGGTGGTGTTATCAGAGAGAAACCTGGTTTTAAAGCCCTGGAATCGAGAAAGATGAGAACTTCTATGGTATCTATGAGCAGAAAGGCGTTCGACAATGTATGAAGATGGACCTTCTCTCTTGATTACTGCAACTATTCACTGTCTATGTGCGATACTCCTTACGAGTGAATGCTTTGAAATCCAATGCACTCTCCAATTTGATGGAGCGACCGGACTTTAGAGGACCAATGGAGACCAAAATACCAGAAACAGTGGATGGTGAAACCAGAATGTTCATCAAGCATCCCGATGTCGTACTCACAACTTTGGGCAACTCAAGCAGACCAATCGGTTCGTGCGTGCTGGATCAGGTCTTGGACTCCCCGATTAATTTTCTAGGAAGCTCTCTTCAGCACCAAATTTTAGGATCTCTCCGCCTTAACGGCGTCCTCAGCTCTAGCTGTCCTACAAGTGCAACCTTCAATTTCAAACAATCGAGCAGATCTATTACAGGTAAATTCGTAACCAGTGAGCAAGAGTATCTCCTCCAGCAACAAGGATCTTCTATTGGGTCTTGCAGGGCCCAGCTCAGTGCAGCGGAAAGCAATTCTGTTGCAGTTGACAACACAAACAAAGCAGCACGACAAGATGAAAGGTGGATAGGAGACAGGCTCCTTGACACTGAAACCTTCAAAAATGAGTTGGAATTTGAGCAACAAAAAGCGAAGAGAGCACACTTGCTTGATAGACAGTGGGAATCTGAGCCCCATTCGGTGTCTACTTCAAGGGTCTGGAGCTCAAAGAGACCTAAGCCGTCGCAACAACAGCATGAACTTAGATCGGTTCCGTGTCCGCCAGTTCCACGGAGCAAGACCACTATCGGCCTTTACCACGAAGGGCCAGTCGTTGGCCATGTCGCGGAGTACATTGATTTTGAGGAATTAGACCTTCAACAATTGAAAGATGTTAATGTTACTGAGAAGTTTCAAGGCTATTTTTGTTCAAACGAAAACCCCCACAAAATCGTCGCTGGAGGAGGATCCATCAGCGACCGCCGGCAAAAGCTTGGCAATACCAGATGTGATGATTTCCCAGAGAAAGTTCACGAAACTGTGGTTTCTATTGATCAGAGTGAGGAGTCTCTTCCCTCTGGATCCGGAAATGGGTTGGGTGAAAGTTGTCACGATGTTGGTGGGACTGCAGAGTGTAATTATTTGATACTCCCAGGAACGGAGCCAGACGAGGTGTTCCAGAGTGATCCACATGATATTGATTTCTCTAGCAAAAGTTTTATGAATAGTTCTTCTCAAAGGGGGCCACACCGTCAAAACACTATAAAAGGCCTTTGGACAATCGAGGAGGACAGGTATACAAGCTTCCACTCTTCGCACACGACCACTTAAATCTTCATAATTTGTGAATAGACTTGTGAATTCTGAATGTGTTTACTATTGTGATCGTGAGGTTAGGCACCTGATAGAATTGGTGAAGAGGTATGGACAACAACGCTGGACACTTATTGCCAATTATTTATCCGGCCGCATTGGCAAGCAGTGCCGAGAGCGGTGGCACAACCACCTGCGTCCAGACATTAAGGTATGAATTCATTAAACCCTGCAATGTACAAGTGCCACAATCGTAGTCTGCACCCAAAGTTCTGCACTGAGTTTTCTCAGCGACCAGAGGATGGAATCAAAGTCGGTGCTGATTTTATACGCTACCTACAGAAAGAAGGCTGGAGTTCTGAAGAGGAGGAATATCTTGTATTCGTTCACAATACTCTGGGAAATCGGTGGGCGGACATAGCGAAGCTAATTCCCGGTCGCACTGAAAATGCAATCAAGAATCATTGGAATGCCACAATGCGACGCAAAGATCTCCGGCGCAAGCACAGAAGGCCAGTTGGTGGCTCCAAATGCGGTCCGGTTGAGCCCGTTTCCCGATGCACAATCCTGCGTGATTACCAGCAGAAAGTTGTAGCCCAGGCGAAGCGGAAAGGAAACACCCATGAAACCACCTCCCCGTCAAATCCTGACCATTTCGAGCTTGATCAACACAAGAGACTTTCGAAGAATACTTGCCCATATAACACACAGATCGCTGGCAATTCTGATACAAATTGGAACACTGAGAAGGTGAATTCTGCACTCCAAGCCCAAAAGTCATTTAATTTACGGGTCAGGACCTCAGGTAAAACGATATCTAAGCTCAAAGTACGGTATGATAATGCCTTCTACAGTGTACAAAACTCTTAATAACTTTCAAATATCTCCGTGATTCTAAATGTTTCCACTGTTACCGCTTTGTCAGTCAGAATATCAACGTCTTGTTCAGATCAAAGAAATGCGGTCAGAGGAGAGGAAACAGCTGTCATATACAATATGTAGAGGTGGAGAAGAAGGCGATCCGGACTTTAGCAACGCACCACAAGGGAGCGTGGTGCTACAGCATGGGAGAAGTGGATCTGTTTTCAATCAAGATTGGAGGAATTGCGGACAATATGAAAATAATGGAATGTATTCGACTCCTCCACTGTGGATACCGAGTTTCAGAGGCACGGAAAAATCTGAAGGAGACTCTTACATTTCAGGTGGCAGATGGCATGTACCTAGAGATGATGTTACCTGGAGTCAGATGGCTGCTGACAATTCGGACGCTGGCCTCAATCAAAGAAAGATAGATCATCACACAGTACATTGTCTTTCTCACTGCAACCCTCTTCAGCAGCGAAGCAGTGAATCACATACCCGATTTGACACTCAAGGGAGTCAACTTGAAAATGAAGTACTTCACTCGAAAATTAGAGGAATTAAAAATGTTTCGGTGACGCTTGATCCAACATCCGGCGTACAGATGGCGCCGCCCGCACAATCAGACTGCGAGTATACGGATTCATCAAGTCCCAACTTGAATATGGCGCACCTCACACTACCACTGAACTCCTTACAAAACTACTTCGGAGATTCTCGAAACATTCTTACCGAAGTGGAACCGCACCAACTTGATCACGGAGTTTGTTGCTTGCCCTGTCAGACGCTTGGCATTGCCGACTTGAGGACAAATTTGGGCTACCTCTCGCAGGAGCACTGGCGTCCCGCTGCAGTTGAGGGTCGCAACAGTGGCAATCTTCCGGCAGCCGGTGAGATTGATTTCATCGAGATTATAGCAAGTTAGGCTCCAGAATATGCTTGAAAATATCTCCACTCTCTGCAAAAACTTGCTCAGTGTTCGCACATCCACCATACAGTGTACAAAGATCAGGCTTGAAATCGGAAGCCACGTATGTATTTAGGCTTTCATGTAGCAAGACGGTTGGGTGATTCCTTTTCAACAGCTCCCATTTCAAACTTACATTTTATCTGACACAACCTCCTGAAACGTTTATTTGCAATAGGTTAAATCGAATGAGAAAATTGGTCCACTTTACTTCTAACAAATTCTGCATATGTTCTAATTCCTGACACACTACAATGAAGGGGAGAATCTTCGACTTCAATATCATTTTGCGTAATGTATTGCTGCCTCATTGTGAAGGGTGGTGTATCAACCTACTCAAAATTATGCAGTGTACTGAAACGATATCATACGCTGCCGCACTGCAAGATTATATTCACCATCTTTCCAGAAACCTCAACCCAAAACTGCTTTATAAAGTTGAGTCAGTCATCATTCAAGGCAAGTATTGCAAACAGTAACTTGACAAAAGTTAATTTGATTTTACAAAGTATTCAAGGCTCTTTTATGGATATTTTTTATTGAAACTTATCATCAACCATGCGGAGATAGTCTTTGACCTCTGATCTGAATTCCGTCCAATCTTGATAAATCGAAACGTAGTTGCTAAGATGACATTGGTGGGGCGAAGGATGGTTGTGCTTGACATGTTCAGAGCTCTAGGGCTTGAACATGCGGATGCCAATCTCCAACTACGGTGCCATGCTGCCATTGTAGTAAACGACTGCAGCAGTTCAATTCGCCTTCTTGTGAGTGTCTGACTGGAATCCCTACCTTAACACGTGCCGAAACTTCGCAAGAAAACTTGTCAGGTTATAAAATGTCACCATCCAAGGTTTTAGAGTCCCTTGTTTCTACAGTCCTATCTTCATTTTGCAAAGGATCATACATTTCAAAGACATTTGAAATCATGTGCGCAACCAGCACAAGAAGAATTCAGAAGCTGTTACGCTTTAGAACCTTCAGAGCAAAATAATGGGATGAAAATAACCCGCACTCTTGCAAGCTGTGCTGTTGAAAATCTGCTCTCCAGCTAGGACGAGCTGATGGCTACTCTACTTTAGGCACACAATCAAATTCAGTTTAAAACAACGAATGATGATTAAACAAACGACACCAGGTTGTTAGAACACAAACCCTTAAAAACTTGTGCACCCTTGTGCACCATTTTATGTATCATTCTGATCCCTACATAATGAATAAAAAGTGCTTTTTTGTGACATTGTGTGTGAGCAAAGGTCGAGGCGTTTCTTGAGTGTTTCTATTTCATTTCTCAACAGGTTATGGGCCCACGTTTTTGCTGTCTCTACCCTCAAGAGAATAGATCCTTTTATTTTATCTAGCCATTCTTCAAAATCTGTTTTTATCTCCCTCTTGATTTACGTACTTACGCGATTGATCGTTCCTCTGTAAGAGACCAACTGGATTCAAGATTTTTTTTTCTCTCCTTCTTTGCCTGACCACTTTATCTCCTCCTCCCCTCTTTGCTGCAATAGAAAGAGAGATTCGCGACACAATGACTGTGCTAGTCCAGGAGGAAACCTCAGGTTGATTTGTTCAAAGTCAGACTTCTGCTGGTTTATCATTCTTCACTTCACAGCCTCCTCCTAGACAAGATTTCGCCAGCGTTGACATCACAAACATTGACAAACTCACAAGAGACAGCTTTTTAGTTTGTAAATTTCAGATGAGCATCCTACTCCGTGCAAGAAAGCTGTTGAGGATAGTAAATGGAACAACCCCAAGAGAGTCTTTCGCCAATGAAGAGGAATGGGCTGACAAAGATGCGGCTTGCTAATCCTTCCTTATTTTTGCTATAGACAAGAAACTCATGCGTAGGTGGATGAATTGTCACACCTCTAACCAAATGTGGCGTCGCTTGTGTACAGTTCATGAACAAAATCCAACAAACAATGTGCAACTACTACAACAACAGTTCTTTGACATGAGAAAGAAGCCTGATGCCGAAGTAGTTGACTATGTGAGCTACAAAGAACAACTTGAACACCAACTGAACGACCTTGGTGAATCCATCTCAGACCATGCTGTGATCTGCAAGATTCTAAGTACCTTGCCGCACCAATTTTGCCATCTCCTTTCAGCTTGAGACAGCGCTCTAAGGCATGAGAAAAGGCATGAAAAAACAATAGAGGCTCTAACATTGCGTTTATTCAAGGAAGAGAGTAGAAACCACATCCAAGAGTGCATGGACGACGAAGAAGAGAAGGTCTTCTTCTTCTTCAGCCAGGGCCAAGTTTCAAATGCAAATGACATGCCTCTCTCCGCCGAAGAGAAAAAGCGACAATCTGCTAATATTGCGGAACTCAAAAAGAAAACAAAATATCGAAAGTGTGGAAATAGGGGACACTGGGAGCACAATTGTTTCAACAATAGCAAGAACAGAACCTTTTGATAAGGTCAAGATTAGCAACGCAAATGTGAATGAGGCCAATATTGTCGTTACCAAAGAATTTGGTGGGAATGACAGCTTGGCATTTATGGCGCACACCGATGAATATGCCAAATGCGCAACCGACAATATGATGGATCAACTTGACTGGTTTGTCTCTCTCAAACCTGTATCCCAAGGACGATGGAACATGATGATTGCCGAAAGTAGGCAACTCTAAGTACGAGGAATCCGCTGCATCAAGTCTAAACTCAACTACGCATGGAAACCGCAGCACATCCACCGCATTTCCTACCTGCCACAACTATGCAAGAACCTTTTTTTGGTAGGCCAAGCAGTTGACAAAGGATTTGTCACCACTTACACCTGCCGCACATGCTACCTCATAAGTCACAAGGGACGTGACGTTAACATGTTTTTGGATCAACAAATAGAATAAGTTGGAGCTCAAGGTTGAATGCCAAGCCGCTCAAGCCCATATTGCCACAGCATGAGGCACAAACAAAAGAATCAAAACCAAAGACGCCTCACAATGTAGCCGCAAGAAAGAAACGTCGATCAAAACATAAGAAGCACCATCACAAAGATTGACCTTATGGCATCAACGGTTTGGGCATGCACACAATGCCATGATTGTGCACATGCACACACATAATACCGTCTATGGACTAGGGCCTCAAAACCACGTGGTGCCGAAAAATCCTTGCAAAGGATGTGCCATAAGAAAGAGTGTCAAGCAGCTATTTCCCAAACAGCGGTCCTCACCGAGGATTGAGAAACCTGGTCTATTCTTCCATAGTGACGTCTGCGAACCGATGAGCAAAGCCTCACTGGGCAAAGCTTGTTATTTTGTTCTTTTTAAAGTTGATTTTTTAAGATACCATATCATCTACTGCATCCGGCACAAGTTAGATGTACTTGAAAGGTTCAAAGAGCTCTGCACACTTGTTCCCCACCAAACTGGAAACCAGATCTAGAAGCTCCGCAACAACCAAGAAGGTGAATTTTTCGGCGCAAAATTCATATAGTTTCTAGCCAATTCAAGTGTTCAATATGAACTTACAAGTTCCGACAACCCAGAGCAAAACGGTAGCACCAAAAGGAAAAATCGCACCTTGGTGGAGTACGTGCGAGCAATGCTGCATGCAAAGAAGCTAAACCTAATTTTCTAGGTGGAAGCAGTACAAACTGCCGCTTACTTGCTAAATTACATTGACTCTTGTACAAGGAGTTACAAAACCCTCATCAAACTCTGGACTAGGCAAGTACCCATAGTGTCGCACTTGCAAATTTTTGGATATGTCACGTACACACATCTCAAAAGCCAACAAAAGCAAATAAGATCCCCAAAGTGTTAAAGCAGTTTTTGTTGACTACTGCATTAACACAAAGGCATACCGTCTTTGGGATGCACAGTGGCACAAGATGATTGTAAGCCGCAATGTTATTTTTGACAAGCTGTCAATTCATAGACAAGCTACCCTGCAACGTTCTTGGGCCTTTTCTCATTCCAGGAGGATCTAGCCACAACCCCTCCAAGCATGAGCATTGATCAGCCCACACTCATGAATCTAGCCCAAACACAAGCCACAAAGTCTTTTAAGAAAACAGCAACATCTGCTCCTGCGGACGCACAATGTTTTGACGATTTAGACATAAACAACCAACGCTGTGAACAATCCACCTACTCATTGATTCAAAGTCCAATTACAAGTCCACCTACATCACACATTGCTCCACCGCCACTCTCATTGGAATCGCATCCTTCCCGCATTTGCAGCGCACCATCGTATCTATGGGACTACATCGTCCCTCGCTTCTTCGCCAGCCTTGCATCAAGCAAGTACATCCCCAATGATCCCAGTACGTACAAGGAAGCCCTTACAAGCCCAAAAGCTGCTAAATGAAAACTTGTAAGGGAAGCAGAGTATGATTCACTTCTCAATAACGGTACTGGGCACCTTATCTCTCTCTCTCTTCAGATTGCAAACCAGTGAAATGTAAATGGGTTTACAAAAACAAGACACACTTTGAGGGATCCGTTGCAAAGATCAAGGCGCTTCTTGTTGCAAAAAACTTTACACAGAAATACGGAGTAGACTATCATCAAACGTTTAGAGCAATTGTAAAATATAATTCCATCCAAATAGTACTTGCCATTGCAACATTGCAGCATATGTCCATCGTCCAAAGACTTTTTTTCATGGTTTTCATGACACAAAAATTTACAATGGTGTGCCTCCACTGACCAATGAGAGTTCTTGCAGATTTAAACACAAAGCTTCACAACAATTGTGTTATATAGTATGAATTTTTGCTTGAAAATACACACGACACCTAGTTGTAGAAGGTAAATAAAACATACAACAATTAACTATGTTTCATAAGCTACCAACATGTGATTAATTTTTTGACTAAGTTTTTAACCTATCAATTAATTACAAATACATAAAAAGTCAAAGCAATATTTATGAAGCTTCTATGAAGCTTTTCTAGAAAATATTATGAAATAAATCTATTTTTATTTACTTCTACTTAATCATATACGTAAATATTAAAGTAAATATGTATGTCCATGACATTATCTTTTTTTTTAGAGATGAATTCTTTGAAGAGCAGTCATTATATGTTGAGGCAATCCAAACCTCAATTATATTTATATTTGCCACATACTTTGATCTTTGTTCTCTTAAAAAATGATTGATATGTCTTGCTAGCTATTGATAGTGTCTTATATCAAAGCAAGAAAATCACCTTGTTATTTGATTGTTATGAAGGCCTTTATAACTCCCTTCAAATAAAACATTTAGAACACTATCAAAAGTCATTCCTACTTCTAATAAAATTACCAAATATTGAAAGTCTCTTCCAAGGTCATGATATCAAATATGTTGTATCTCGCTATTTATTCAAAGAAGGACATGTTGTTCTTAAAGATCTTCATCTTGATTATGTCATCTTGAAGGTTGTGACAATTACAATGTCTCATCTTGTAAATCAATAAGTGATAGTTCTTGAGTTGAATCTGTTGGTTGTTGATTTTCTATCTTCTTAGTATCAAAATATCACGGACATACGCATGTAAGCTAGTAATTACATATATAAATAGGTAGAAGTAAGTAAAAGTAGGTAAAAGTAAGTTAATTCTATAATATTTGTTATAAAAGCTTTCTAAAAGCTTCATAGATGCTGCGTTGACTTTATAGGTGTCTTTAATTGACTTTTTGGATTAGAAACGTCGTCAACAAGTTGGCCATGTGCCACACATGTTGTTAGCTTGAAGACCAAGCTTACTATGTAGCCCACACGTAGAAAAACTTGTTGTGTAAGTCAAGACATGTGTCCTACAAAGTCAATATATATTAGAGGTCCTATAGGACATCGCCATGTAGCCCCTAGAGTGAAGCCGTCTTTATTCTTGTCAACTCCTTTCTTGCTTCTAGTCTAGTTTCAAGGATCTCTAGTTTTCTTGTCTTTTGGCAATAGCCATTCCAATTTCTTTTTTAATATATGTATTGAGTTATTTCTATTTTATCATCTTTCTTTGAGATAAGTCTCACTTATTTATTTGTCTTTATCAAGTTCTTATCCTTCACACAAAAATACATAAAATTCAAAAATAAGAGTAGAATTTGAATATTATCTTTCCTAGATCTTGTTTCTTTTATAGCAAAGATTTTTTATTCTTTATTTTAATTTTGATCGATATCCTCAATGAAAAACCTAAACTCTCTTTATTTTATTTGCAAGATCCTTTGTTGGCTCTTATGTGCATTCACTAATATAATAAGTTGCCTTAAATCTAAAACTTCTTCTATCTTGAATTCTTGATTATTATCCATTTCTATAGGAGGAGGTGGTATTTGTCTTCTTTCTTAGATATTTAATATTTTATATGGCTTAAGAAAAAACACATGGAATACAAGATGGATCTTCATAGATTTCGATGTTGTATTATATGAAGTCTTACTTGAAAATGCACCAGGCACTTTACTGTAGAAGATAGAAGGGAAATTGCAACAACAAAGATCCTAACAACTCTAATAGAATCTTAAATAAATTCTAATTAAATCTTAATAATAATAATTAAGATTTAATTAAATCTAAAATAAATCTTAAAGAAATTAAAAAATAAATATAAAGAAATCCTAAAGAAATCACAAAGAAATAATAAATAGAGCTTAAAAAAATTCAAAAGAAATTCAAAAGAAATCTATAAGAAATCTTAAAGAAATATTAGAGAAATCTTAAATAAATCTTAAATAAATTCTAACCAAATCATATTTTAATATCAATTGAAATCCTAATTGAACTTAATTAAATCCTAGATGAGATCCTAACTAAATCCTAAATTCTAAACCAAATCTTAGACAAACTCTAAATCCTAAATCTTAAACTAAATCCTAGACAACCTTTAAATCCTAAATCTTAAACCAAATCCTAGAAAAATCCTAAGCCCTAAATAAATTTTAAATCCTAAATCAAACCTTAGATAAATTTTAAACCCTAAACCAAATCTTAGATAAATCCTATGTCCTAAAAAAATCCTAAATTCTAAACCAAACTTTAACCAAATTCTAACCAACTCAAATCAATCCTAGGATAGATTAAAATCTCAATGTCTATTGATAAAATTATTGATCTTGCTGAAAAATTTATATACCTCTCAATTTCTTAGTTAAAAAAAAGTACAATAAATTTGAAGATAATTGCACTTATCAAATGGAAGAAAAATCCTAAAATTTGTTCTAGTATTGGCCAGCCTCCTTTTTTAACCTAGATGTTGATCTTTTAGTACTAATATCTCATTTTTATATTATTAAATTGATCTCAAAATTCACACACACATATATATATATATATATATATATATATATATAAGTCTAATATCCATATATATAAATTTTAATTCAATTCAATTCATAGATTGCTAGAAATCTTAGAAATCCTCACTAGACCTAAAATTCTAAGTTCCAAGACTTTGATCCACTCAAACTTCAAGAACCTTCAATTTAATTATTTGATCAAGCTTAAATTCATAATACATATGAAGCAAAAATATATCCACTAATCTACAAAATTATACTTATAGATCTTCTACAAAACTCTCAAAATTGTCTAAAACAACAATCTTATTTTATTTCATAAAAATCTAAGACATCCAAAAAAACCTTGATTTTATAAAGTTCTTACAAAGATATTAAAAGTTTAAATCACATAACATTAATGCTTATAAAAACCTTATCAAGTATACTCTCTAATTTCACTCTTTGATTTGCAAAAGAATTCCGAAGTCACCGTAGGTGGATGGTTTTATATCTCAGGATATGATTTCAACCCAGGTTGATAATTGTTCCTTTTTGGATATTAATTCTTAGCTTCTTAAGAAAAAATTTGCTAAAATCTACTCTTAACTTCTTCCTATACATGCTTATATCATTTTATTTTCTAATCTACTTTGTTTTTCTTTATTTATGGCCCTCCAAAGTAAGTAGAAGCCTATTTCATAAAAATGTAGCAATAGTATCTTTTAGTTTTACTAACTTTTTTATTATTACCTATTTTTTAAGATAATTTTTTATAATATTTTAAAATAATATCTTTTATAATATAATTTTTTCTTCTCTTTTTTATTTATTAGCCATATTACATCATAACACTGGTAGATGTAATCAATAAGCAACAGGATTGACTTGTTCAAAAAAAAAAAGATCCAAGCTCATCATAGTCAAATTTATCATAAGGATGAGTAATCTTGATATTGCAACAAAGTAGTTATATCTTATCACCCACATTGAATTGTGGTTGTTCCTTGTAATAGGCATTTGCATTGATCTTTTGTCATTCTTCAAGTTCTTTTAAGTATGCCTTTATTATTATATATAGCTTTAACAAATGATTTGCCAAATTTTCTACTATAAGATTATCAACTTTTGAAAAGTCAAAAGTATCAAGTCATGGATAATAACCATAATTAATAAAAAAATATATTTATTGAATAGAAGAATGTACTAAATTATTGTATGTAAACTTTGCTGATAGCAAAAGAGTTGTCCAATCATCTTAATGATAATTGATGGTATACCTGAAATACTATTCTAGAATTTGATTCATCCATTCCATTTGTCTATTAATTTGAGGATAAAAAGTCAAAGAGAGCTTTTTATCTACCTTTAAAATCTTAAAAATGATTCTCCAAAATCTAGATATAAATTGATTCCCCTTATCTGATATAATATCCTTCGATAATCCATGATAGCAATAAATGTTGTCAATAAAAAGCTTTGCCATTTCTTCACATGTGATAAATTTTGTACATAATATAAAATGAGCCATCTTAATAAAATGATCTACTATTACAAATATAAAATCATATAGGCTTGAAACATAAAGATCTATGATAAAATCTATAGAAAAAAGAAACTATGGTTATTTTGGAATAGATAATGGCTAAAAACATCCATAAGATCAATGACCAAGAGTTTTAGATCTTGAACAAATATTACATGATTGTATAAAATCTTTGATTGCTTTTTAAATTTGAAACTACAATAAATCTTTAGATATTGGTTCCAAAGTCTTATTCTATCCAAAATATTTAGCTGTTAGAGAGCTTTGATGAGATTGAAGAACATGTAATCATACTTTATCTTGTAGAATATATAATCTTTCCTTAAAATAAAATAGTTTGTATTTAAATTTAAACTTAGAAGTATCATGAAACTTAAAAGAATTATTTTTAATATCATAAACAAGAAAATCAAAGGACATATTTAATTAGATTTATTTGACAAAGGTTGAATCAACAATCAATGTTGATTTTATTACCTGAAAGTGAAAATGCTCTGACTTTAAGAAAATCATTCTTTATTGATTAAAAGATGTATTTTCTTCTTTTGATGCAAGATAAAAACATCTAAAAGGGGTGTCTAATAAATCTTATTTTTTAAATGAATAAGTGATCTTGAAATCAAATCTTAATAAAGTCATATTCTAACAAGTTTGGCAATAATTCAAAACATGTGTCGACATGAAGTACTTAAGATTTTTGTGAATTTTATAC